CCCTCCAGGACCAGGATTGCCCACTCCTGCTCTTGAGAAAGGGTTTTGTTACCTGCTGCCGGATTAACTCCAGATATGTAACGCCAGATTAAAGTTGGTGTTTTTATTTTCTCCTTCTGATATTTTGATGTTTACTTGTATAATGAGCCTATTATTCAGGCAAGGGGGGAGGGAGGATATGACACGCAGATGACAGCGTGCAGGAAAGGAGGAAGCAAGAACTTATTTCTAGCTGCAGAGCGGGTTGGAAGATGGTTGTTTGATGTTATTTAATGTTTTTTAATGTCCTACAGGCTCTGAAATGCTAAATAAAAACAAAACTACGTTTTTGAAAAAGGTCAGTAGCGCGATTTGAACACTTTTTTTTTTTAGTTCATTACACACCCACCATGGTGGTTGGTGTGTTGTTCAGATCTACACGTCACTTCATAATTTTACCCACGTTTGGCCAGTGGCGGGCGCTAATTTCCACCCCAGCTTACAACATTAGCAGTCGCTCTCTCCCAGGGAGGGGGTGGCAACCTGCGCTCGCGTGATCAAAGGAATGGATCGGCCAAATACATGAACGTATCGGTCGATCGACTCTTTTAAATGCTCTGACACAAATATTTGTTCTGACACAAATATTTGTTCTGACACAAATATTCTGACACAAATATCGGCCAAAAATATCGCCCGGCCCCTAGTTGACACTGCAGTTGGGTTGGTAAATTCAGAAGGATTATATTTAAATAATATATCACAGGTAATCCTCGGCTCAGTGGCAAAATCACTTCTTAATGTCCTTGATATAAAGATGTCTGCCTTTAAAATAGTTGTAGTAATATGCTGGTAATATCAATGGGATATTACCTTTGATAAAATGAAGCATTTGTGTTGTTTGTAGCAATAGCAAAGCTAAACTTAGCAGAAGGTAACTGGTCTGGTTTCCAAAGTTAGCGAAAATGCTAGTCAGCTAAACAAAATGTTAGCTTGGCTATCTGTGGATATTTAGATTAATGCCTACTTTAGTTTGTTGGTCTGCTCTAACAGATTCCAACTTAAGCAAAAACAGTAACAAAAATTTAGCTTCACTAATATCTGTTAGCGGGTTAGGAGCTTTTCTTTCTGTCACACTGGTGTTTCAGCAGTTTCTAGTTCAGCCAGGCCTAGGTGGCTCCTGAACGACCAAACCAATGTGCTTTCATCTGGGSTTACAGATGAGTCTTTGTTAATCAAAGGAGAGCTAGGTAAACATGCAATCATCAATGATCAAGTGCTAACAAGTTATTATGCATTGACCACATCAGGTTTAGATATTCTAGAAGTTTCCATCATCCCTTTTTAAAACATTTAGATGCCTGCATGAATAWATTTGAACCTACTGGTTTGACCATGTGACCATTAGAGAAATTGAAACTTGTGCAGCCATGCTCAGCTCCTGCTGTGTCTACACCCCCCTGCAGGTCGACCTGGTGAATATTGGAGCGGGCGACATCGTTGATGGGAATCACAAACTGATTCTTGGCCTCATCTGGAGCATTATTCTCCACTGGCAGGTGTGTGTGTGTGTGGGTGGGGGGTTGTTTCTGGTGACATTTGGGGGCAATTTTAAGACAAAAATCCTACATTTGGGGACAACTGGTGCATTTGGGGACAAAAGTCGAGTCCCCATTTGGTTTAAATGCCATTGGTGGGTTGGGGGTTGGGTTTAGGACCAAGGTGTGAATTGAGTTTAGGTTAGTTTTAGGGTAACCTGTGAGGTTAGCCTTAGGGTTTGTGGTCAGGGTTAGGCTGTAGAAATGTACTGGAAGTCCCCAATTAGATAGCTGTGCAAACTTGTGTGTGTGTGTGTGTGTGTGTGTGTGTGTGTGTGTGTGTGTGTGTGTGTGTGTGTG